TAAGGAGATATTTTTCAATTTACTCTTAACCTTTTAAGTCTCATGATCTTTAAGTCATCATTACCTTTTAAGTATCAGTGATTTTAAGTCATCAGTTACCTTTTTAGTCATCAGTGATCTTTAAGTCATCAATATATTTGGAGTATTATTCAACTTATAAATTAAGTGATTTATTGGAGCTTGGATTATTAATTATTCTTGTGGATTTTATTGTGGGAACTTATAAAAGGATCATTCCAGGATCAGACTAGACATTTGTAATTTTTATTTGGACTTCAGGTATTTGTAAAGTTATTTGTTATTTTATTTTTCTTTAATAATTTTTCTGTAATAAATTTGTTATTGTTACAAGTTTGTTGCTGGCTTTTCTTTCTCGTTACGCCTGGCTCGTAACAATATTATACATTATTCTAGACGTAACAGAAGAATATTCCTGACCTAAGACGAGGAGCCCAAGCCAGAGCCATCCATAGAAGATACTATATACCAATTTTATTGTTTGTGAAATGTATATTTAATAAATAGTTGTGTTAATCTTATTTCAGGTGTCCGTATCTTTTAGTCCTTGTGTCCCTATTTTCCCTTATCCATTTACGTGTGTTTGAGAAGAACCCACGTGTCGATATTGAAGTGTGTCCGGGCTAGCAGACCCCGGGTACGTTTCAACTGGTGTCAGAAGTGGGATTCCAATGATTTTATGAGATTTATATAATTTTCCAGATTGATCCATCATCAACCATTAACAGTTGTCTGCTTTACCATTACAGGGAAATAACCAGGAGACCAAGAGACAGAACATTTTATTATTTATGTATCATAGTTCATTTCATTTGCTGATCCAGATTTTTGATCTTCCAAGGTGCTGACCATTCAATCAAACAAGTTTACTTGTTGGTTGGATGCATGATTATAGCCTTATTTGAATGCCCATTGCTGACTGCATTCTTGTCTGGCCAACCTGAAAGCAGAAAGGAATAGACATTATACATTACACCTAGTTTTATTATTTTTATTATAAATAGCACATAGAATAATTATTACCAACCTTGATATTGCTATTCGTTACCAGATGGCACAAAATCAAATTGATATGGACATTGATGTCCATGTAGACCATACAAATACAGATAGAGATGATTCTTTATCTCAAGACTCAGACTATTCAAGACCAGCCTCTTTGGCACAAGACAATATTAGCCAATCTGAAGCTAAAATGCTTGAGATTGCTACACAAATGAAAAATGCTCTCACTTCAATGGGAGAAGCTGTAGACCAGAGACTTAAAAACATAGAAAGAAGACAAGATATATTTGAAAATAGAAATTCAAATTCTACTGACATACCTAGTAGTAATTTATCTTATGATGACCAGACCTCTTCATATAGAATGTCAAATACAAACACTATCAAAGTGAAACCTCCAACTTTTGATGGTACTGAAGACTTGAATGAATTTTTAATATCATTCCAAATTTGTAGTGATTTAAATAATTGGAACATTAGATCCAAAGGATTATGCCTAGCTAGCTGTTTAAAAGGTGATGCCCGATCAATGTTGACTGAGATTGATACAAGAGACCATTGTGACTATAAACTGCTAGTTGACCTACTTAACCAACGTTATGGTCCAGCCAATAGAACAGACATTTTTAAAGCCAAACTTAAAACCAGAGTAAAACAAAAAGGGGAGACAATTTCTCAATTGTCACAAGATATATACAGACTGACCAGAAACACTTATGCCAGTGCTTCTAAAGAAGTAATTGAGGCCATAGCCTTAGATCATTTTATTGATGCTATTACAGACTCAGAGATTAGATTAAGACTAAAGGAAATATCACCAAAAACCCTATTAGAAGCTGAACAAGCAGCTATTAGATTAGAGGCTTTCCGTACAGCAGACAAACAAAGAAATAAATTAGTAGCATCAGTCACTGACCCAGAACAGGAAAGAAAATACCTAAAACTTGATACCATTTGCAAATCATTAGAGTCAATTAATAGAGACTTAAATGACCTTAAAAGAGATCAATCTAACAGATCCATGACAAATAGACAACATGTTCCAAACAATCATTTCCAGAGATCTAGACAAAACTTGCCCAGATATAGTAATAACAATCAGACATACAATGCCCACAGTAACAGAAATAATAGAAATGAAAACTCCACAAGAAGACAAAATTATAATCAGTCGGGAAACGCCAACCAATCGACCTGGTGGCACACAAGTCGATACAATCATAAGGGCCGACAATCCAATCATTAAGTGAGACCGAAATTGACCATGGTTTTTTATAAATTGTCGCATTCGAACTAGAAAACTTACAGCACTCATTGACACAGGCTCGAATGTTACAATATTGAAGACTTCCGAATTTGAACAGCTATCATCCGACTTTAAAATTTAAGTTGAACCTGTAAATATACAGTTTGTTACAGACACAGGTGAAACATCACACTTTCATGGGAAGACAAAATTGACTATAGATATAGGTGGTAATGTCTTTCAACATGAAGTACTGATAGCAGACATAAAAACTGATGTTATTTTAGGCAGAGACTTTCTATTTAGCAATGGATGTGATATTTTACTAAGCCAAATGAAACTGATAATAAATGGTCAGAAAATAGATTGTTTCTTACATGAAAGTTCCATTAAACCAATGTGTGCCAGAATAGCTACCACTGAATTTATAGAAATTCCTCCACAAACAGAAATCATAGCCAACGTTAAACCTATTGATCCATTTGATAGATATCAAACCTCTATAATTGAAGGAAAGTTAGATTTTATTGACCGCAGTGGAATACTAGTAGGAAAAGTACTTGTTGACCCTTTTGATGAAATTATCCCTGTTAGATTAGCAAATATTTTTGATGAACCTTTAAAGATAAATAAATGTACTGTAATTGGAAATTTGTGCCCGACCGAGGTTGTACCTTCTGAATGTGTCCAAGAAATAGGCACCGGGGAGACAACTCAAAACATTCATGATATCCCTTCTTATCTTGAAGAAACTTACAAAAGAGGTTGTAAAGAACTGTCAAATGACCAGAAGTTAAAGTTTAAAGAGCTCTTGATTAAAAATCAAGATATATTTTCCAAAAACTCCACTGATATAGGTTTTACTAAACTTGTAGAATATACAATTGATACTGGGAATAGCCCACCTGTTCGTACACCACCATATAGATTACCCTTAGAGAAAAGAAAAATTGCAGAACAAGAAATTACAAAATTACTTGACCAAGGTATTATAGAACCATGTAGTTCTCCATGGCTTTCTCCACTTATTTTAGTACCAAAACCAGATGGAAGTACCAGAGTTGTGATAGATTATAGAAAAATAAATACCAAGATAAAATATGATAGTCATCCTCTCCCTAGAATTGATTCCTGTTTAGAAGCTTTAGCTAATAATAAATATTTCAGTTCTCTAGACATGAAACAAGCTTTTCACCAAATAGGAATATCTGAGAAAGACAAACCTAAAACTGCCTTTTCCTTTGGCTCTAATACTTATATGTATACAAGAATGCCTTTTGGGATGAGTACATGCCCTGCAGTATTTGAAAGACTTATGGAAAAATGTTTTGCTGGATTAGCTTACAATATATGCCTTATATACTTAGATGACCTTTTATGTTACAGCAAAAACTTTGATGACCACCTGATACATTTAGATAAGATGTTCCAGAGAGTACGAGACGCAAATCTCAAACTTAGCCCTAGTAAATGTAATTTCTTTCAGAAAATAGTTTCTTCCCTAGGACATCAGATCAGTGAGAATGGAATTCAACCTTGCCCAAAAAAAGTCAAAGCAGTAACTGAATGGCCGACACCAACAAATACCAGAGAAGTTAGATCTATTGTAGGTTTATGCTGACCGTTCCAAGGCGGCGCCCCACTGTGTTCCTCAGATGTATGTCTATGTTGTTTCATACTGTTTTGGTGACACTTTTACTTGTGTCCCTTGTTGTTTTCTCGTCTACGGTAAGTATCTTCCCCATTGCCTCTAGTTTTTATTTCTTTGATTACCCCCCCCCCCCCCTCCCCCCGGTCTCCTGTCCCCTTCCCCTTTGTGGGCCTATTATTATTTCTTTGAATTCCTAATCAGTTACAAATTATTTATCATTTAATGATTAACGTGTCGTTGCCCTGTCCTTTTTATGTTTGGGGTCCGCCTGGGCTCCTTGCCATTGGTTCTTGTTGCTGGGTCATATGGGGGTTGCGTTCATTGAACGCCGCCTTTCCTTGTTGATCTTGTTTTTCATATTTTAGCTAGTTTTTACAGGAAAATGATACCAGGCTTTGCAGAGATAGCAAAACCTTTACACAGACTTACAGAAAAAGGACAAACTTTTATATGGAATAATGAATGTCAAAATTCCTTTCAGAAACTGAAGGAGCTCTTAACAAGTGCTCCTGTGTTAGCATATCCTGTCCAGGGACAACCATATACTTTAGAATGTGATGCAAGTAAATTTTCTATAGGCTCGGTGTTAAACCAAGTACAAGATGGAGAACAAAAAGTTATAGGTTATTATTCCAGATGCCTGACGAGAACCGAAAGAAATTATTGTACCACGAGAAGAGAATTACTTAGTATTATATGTAGTATTAGACATTTCCATCATTTCCTATATGGAGCCCATTTTACTGTTATAACTGACCATGGTAGTCTCAAATGGTTATTGAGATTTAATAAAAATTGTGAAGGACAACTAGCACGTTGGCTAGAAATATTAGGCCAATATGATTTTTCAGTCCAATATAGACCTGGAAAAATTTCTTTAAATAGTGATGCCCTTAGCCGTAGACCATGTACAGATGACAAATGTAAATACTGCACCCGTGTTGAAGAAATTTACCTTGAAAGTTGTGACTCCCTATCAACAATTCCTTTAACTAAAGAAATGCCTCAAATTACTGAGTTAGTATGTGCCACTGAATCAAGTGAACCTATTCCCGGATGTAGTACTGATGAAACTTCCATAGACAGTTTACAAAATATTTCAGATTTTCAAAAACAAGACCCCAAACTCTCTATAATTAGACAGTGGGTCAATGACAAACAAAAGCCTGCTTGGCAGGATATATCCAAGTTTGATGAAGAAATAAAGTATTACTGGCAAAACTTTGACCGTTTACAAACATGCAATGACATACTTTACATGACTGAAGAAGCTAACATTTTGAAACCAAGTCCAATCCTAATTATAGTACCACACACATTAAGACAAATCATATTTGACCAATTACACAGCAGTGTCACCGCTGGACATTTAGGAATTAGAAAAACTACACAAAAAGTTATCCAGAGATTTCACTGGTATAAACTACGCCAAGATATAAAATATTGGTGTAACACATGTGACCAATGTGCCCGGAGAAAAACTCCTCCAAGGAAAGCTAAAGCACCTATGAAACAATACAATGTTGGCATGCCTTTAGAAAGAATTGCCATAGATATACAAGGTCCATATCCTAAATCCAAACGTGGAAATAAATTTATACTTGTTGTTGGCGACTATTTCACCAAGTGGGTAGACGCCATTCCCCTTAAAAACACAACTGCTGAATATGTAGCTAAGAAACTTGTTAACAAATTCATCTCCATATTTGAAGTACCACTTGAACTTCATAGTAATCAAGGAACAACTTTTAAATCAAAAGTATTCCAAAAAACATGTAAACTGTTAGGTATCCACAAGACAAAAACAACTGCTGCACAACCAATTTCAAACGGAATAATAAAAAAAGCAAATCGTACGATAAAAAATATGCTCGCCGCCTATGTTAGTAAAAATCAATTAGACTGGTGTTCCCATTTACCTTTACTCATGCTTGCTTACAGGTCAAGTATCCATGAAAGTACCGGTGTTTCTCCATGTGCTATAATGTTTGGCAAAAAAATCAACCTCCCAATAAACCTTGTTATGGGTAAACCTGTAAAAAATGCAAATACACAGACAGTAGACTTTGTATATGAATTAGAAAATAAACTTATAGAGATTCATGATTATGCAAGAACAAAATTTAGATATTTCTTCATTCCAAATGAAGAGACTATATGACAGTGACTTTTTTCATCCATATGAAGAAGGTGATATTGTATGGTATCATGACCCTAGACGTACAAAAGGCAAAAGCCCTAAATTACAAAGACCTTGGACTGGTCCCATGGTTATTGTTAAAAAGATCAATGATTGTTTGTTTAAAGTACAGAAAGAACCAAAGTCACCTGCAAAAGTAGTACACCATGACAGACTTAAACCTTACACAGGAAATAACAAACCTACTTGGTATACACAATAATGTCTTTTACAACATTAGATTATTATTGAAATGTTACTAAATATATGAACCTAAAAACCATTGATACAATTTCTTTACCACCGTAACTGATTGTATATTGACTATTGTAGTTCCACTTGTTATGATCCATCAAACAAGCCAAACTCCACACGACCTGAAATATACAGAAATTATGTTTCAAACTGCCAAACTTATACTAGTATAAATATTAACTTGTTATGCTAGAGATATAATTTGTTTTTATACCACAGATGAAATTCTATTACTACCAAGATTCCAAAAATAGTATTTATTTATTACAGAATTGTAAGAAATGTATCAATCCAACAAGATCATTCAACCATCCTGGTGACTGCAGAAGACACCTTCAAACTTTCCATTTTGGATTTATGTACCAATGCACTGGCTGTGGGAAAACGCATACCAGAAAACCTGACAAAGATCATGATTGTAAAGAAAACTGTAGATATGTTTTAGCCCATCGTGAAACAGGTCTGACAGGTATTGATGCCATTCAAAAACGAAGGAGTCTTGACAAAGAAATAGATAAAAATATTGACGAACAAATTAATATCATTCCAAGAAAACCATTATCTCCGATAAGAGATACTGTACTTAATAAAAGTCATAAGAAATCATCAGCTTACCACCCATATGTAATAGAAAAACCAGTAAAAACCAAACAAGTGATTCCATCTACACTACAACAGCCAGAGTCTAGTCTTCATGAATCCATTCCAGATGACCAGTGACTAATGGTCACGAACCTTTCCTTGTTTGTAATCCGACATGGTATTAATAAACATCATAAAAATATAAATTCGCTTATTTCATTTGAAAACAACATCGTTTGTGATTCGGTAGGCAATAGAAAATTTTCTTGAAATTTAATAATCATGAAAAGTATCAAAATCACTTGCCAAAGGATTTTGATGGGAATTCTCGAT